GGCCTTTGACCTTTCCTGTGGATCACATTATAGTGTCAAATTTTTTGGTTTCGGCCTCTTCTCTTGATCGTATTATGGTGTTGATTTTTTTTTTCTTTCTCGAAAACCAAAAGTTATTTCCTAGTACACTTTTTTTTAATAAAAATAGTGCAATTTTTTTTAAATAATTCAGTATTTTTTAATAAAAATAATGTTGTTAAGTGTAATTTTTTTTATAAAAATAGTGCAGTTTTGTTTTATAAAGATAGTGCAGTTTTTTTATTATAATAATAGTGATGTTAGGTGCAGATTTTTTTATATAAAAATAATGCAGTTTTTTTTATAATAAAAATAGTATAGTTTTTTTAATAACGTTTGTATTTGTTTACATACACCTCATTTGCACGCGTTTTAATTGGAGTCCCGCGGTATACCATTGTATTCATCTCTCTTTTATGTATTTTTTTAGTTGAATCGTGCAAACAACAATGATACGAATGATGGATTTTACGTAATAAGATTATAATTTGAAATAGTATGCTAAAGAGTAACATGACAAACAAAACCTAAAACTGTAAACAACAAACATACGAAACCCAGTTTGGTACCAGGAACAGGATTGGACCGAAACCCTAAAAAACACTACCAAAGACTAATTCGGTCAAAAACCCGAAACCCGGTTTAGTACATGGAACCGGATCGGACCGAACCTGGACCCGTTACACCCAAAAACGTTCCGGTTTTCGGGTAAGGTAATTCACGATTTTCGGTCTTCGGGCCGGTCTGGTCCGGGTTCTGCCCGTTGCTCATCCTTACATTTAATGGACAAAAAGTCTAAAAATTTATAGGAGCAAGAATGTAATCATACATCTATATACTCTCTCCTAACAGCATGAAACTTATAGTCATCACATTTATACATGGAAAGGATGTTGCCACCGGTAAGCCCTATAAAATCAGCGATTTTTTTCATAATTAAAAACAAAGGACTTGTTTGGTAGATAATGGCTTGAAAGTCTAAAAATAAGCTTAAAGATGATGTTTATTAGTCGTGCAAAATGAGATAGCCATTCATCCAAGTAGCAACAATCATCAATGACCGTTATAATAACAATGCATGTGTCACTACCAATGGTAAGGACCAAATGAATGTCTAGTAAATTGTTTTAAATTATCCAAATTTCGCTTCATTAATATTTGTGTTTATCTATCATGCTCTCATCCAATATCATAATTGAGGGGAAACCCGAAAGAAATGAACATTACATGGAAAAAACTTCAAGGAATGAGTTAGGACCCACATATCATTATCATATCAATTCATATCTATATGTAAAGGAGAATCTAGCATACCTTGCTTATCCATCAAACCTTGTTCTTGTTATAGAATCTCTTCACCTTCGTCCTTGTTACATATAAACAATAGAATATAATAACATGGTAACATTACGATTAAACTGATATATTTGGTTCAAGCATTTAATCAAACACGTTGTCTGCACAAAATACAAAATTGAAAAACGCAAAGGAAGAAAAGTGCATATGAAGATGGAAAAGTGAAACCAAGTCTACATGATTTTGTACAAAAGAAACAACTATGTAAATACAAAATTAAGAATTCCATCAAGAAGTAACAGAGATGGCAGTATGTACATGAAATCGACCAAAAATGAGCAGTTGTACAAACTGAGTAATGTTTATGAATAATTTATAATTTGAAGATCCTTATTGACATTATGGAAAATCGCTATATCCTTCTTGGTTTCAATCGAAACTTTATTCAAAAGGCTATTAAAACCCATCTTTAGCAACAAATTCCACACACCTGAAGCACTTTGTAGAGAGAGAAAGAATTACAGAAGCTAATACCCAGAAAGATTGATTTAAATAATACAAATACAAAGCACCTAGATTTTCCTCTAATGGTTAATACTAGGGATGAGCAACGGGCCGAACCCGGACCGGACCGCCCCCAGGACCGAAAACCCAAAGACCAAAAATCGTGAATAACCTTACCCGAAAACCAGACTATTTTTGGGTGTAACGGATCTGGGTTCGGTCCAGTCCGGTTCCACGTACTAAACCTGGTTTCAGGGTTTAGACCGAATTAGTCTTTGGTAGTGTTGTTTACGGTTTCGGTCCAATCCTATTCGTGGTACCAAACTGGGTTTCGTATGTTTGTGTTTACAGTTTTAGGTTTTGTTTGTCATATTACTCTCTAACATACTATTTCAAATTATAATCTTATTACGTAACATCCATCATTCGTATCTTTGTTGTTTGCACAATTCGACTAAAAAATACATAAAACAAGATGAATACAACGGTACGCCGCGGGACTCTGATTAGAACACGTGCAAATGAGGTGTATGCAAACAAATACAAACGTTATTAAAAAACTATACAATTTTTATAAAAAAAATGCACTATTTTTATATAAAAAATCTGCACCTAACATCACTATTATTATAATAAAAAAACTGCACTATCTTTATAAAACAAAACTACATTATTTTTATAAAAAAATTACAATTAACAACATTATTTTTATTAATAAATATTGTATTATTTAAAAACACTGCACTATTTTTATTAAAAAAAAGTGTATTAGGATATAACTTTTGGTTTTTCGAGAAAGAAAAAAAAATCGACAGCATAATGCGATCAAGAGAAAAGGCCGAAACAAAAAAAATTGACACTATAATGTGATCCACAAGAGAGGCCGAATCAATTCAATTGGACAACATTTTTTTTTATTTTGGTAATTCATGCTTACTGTTTGTCGATAAAAAAAAAATAAAAAATAACTTTTGGTTTTCCGGTCCGGTCCGGGTTAAATCCTTTAATTTGGGTACGGTCCGGTCCAAACCCGAAACCCGATTTTTGATAAAAATCAAACCCGGAAACCAGCCCACTAATATGATAATCCGGTTCGGTCCGGGTCCGGTCCTGGTTTTTTTCCGATCCGGTCCAGTGACACGGGTTGTATGCTCATCCTTTGTTAATACACCGATGGAAGAAGGGGCGTTATTGATATTGAAGACATCGAGAACCCTTACTGATGACAGGAGAAGAGCGAGCAGCAATGAAAATGAAACACAAAATTTCAGTTTGAGTAGATAGAAAGCTAATGAATCGAATTTATAGAAAACGTATAAAAGATAAATTACCGGAGAAGATTAGGTTTCAGGAGAGGAGATGGGGATGAATTTTTTAGTATTGTCCAACAGTTATCGATAGGAGCAAGAGATGTGAGAAGACCTAGTAGGTAAAAATACAAAAACATGGTGTCAATAGTGGCCTGCAAGGTTGTGATGGGGGAGGAGAACTGATATTAGGATGAGAGGAAGGGCTTCACAATCGCAATGGGGTGGGGTGTAGGGGAAAATGAGGTTCTAGGAAATCAACAGAAATATATCTGCATCGATTTTCATCCTGATTTATTGGGATTGTGATGAAGATATTGCTGAGTTTATGAGATATATAAATTAAAACACAGACGTAGCAAATGAAATTAAAAATGGAGAAGCAAAAGGAGGACACTTGGTGTAATACTGATTTAAGAGTTTGACATATTGCATGACACATGGCATAAGGATATGAACACTATTTATTTATTAGAAAGGAAGATTAAATACAAGAGAATCCAAGTGCCTTACACAATTAAACATATAGACCCAATATTACAAAGTCGGCCATGATTTGTGATATGGGTCTTCAGCCCATGTGGGGTTCCGGATCCGGTTAGCCTTAACATTTAATACCTAAAATACACAGACACACCACTGATTTTAACTACTCTTGAAAATAGATCATTAGACTTTTTTTTTTTTTTTTTTTTTTTTTTTTTAGTTTTTTAGTTTTTTAGAAACAACAAATATGTTGATTGATTTGCAATAAAAACCATTCTGATGTTTCTAAGTTTGAAATAGATTTTAGTATATACTTCTCCATATTTCTTTATTCCTTTTTTTTTCTCAAATTGAGTTTGTGAAATGTATGTTTTTGCCAAACAGTCCCTAATTCATTTCTTAGATCAAGTGTTTTTTAGGCTCAAAAATTTCCCCAACTTATTCATACGGACTTATTATAACATCCATGACACGAATTATTGTAAAATAGTATTAAATCCAATCATTTCAAAGGTCTAAAGTTGAATTGCAGAACTTAGGTCCCAAAATAATATTTAAAAGTTTAAACAAGTGTGAGGTTTGAAACAATCATCCAAAACAATAGTTATGTTATAATCTTTTACGAGCTATTAAGTCTTCTAAATATACTTATAATCTAATATGCTCTACTCCACTTCTTCATCCAATTAATCTGAGTAAATTTCAAAATACTTATGTTAGACTTAGAAAGCCTAGTGTATATTCCTAGAAATCAACTCCTAAGGAAATTAGAAAATGACTAACTAGAAACATGGGTTTTAGAGACGGAAGAATCCGTCGCTATTCCGTCGCTAAATGCTGTTTGCGATGGATCAGCGACGGATTCACTCCATAGGTAATTAAAACGTGGCTAATTTCCCAGCGAGGGTTTTAGCGACGGATCGGTTTTTCCTTGCGACAGATGTAGCGACAGAATATCCGTCGCTAAATGTCACTCAATGCATTTACTCGGGGCATCAGCGACAAAATTTGTTAAAGTCATTATGTCGCTGTTCTGTCGCAAATTTCTTTGATCAGCTTTTTTTTCCGTAGCTAATCCCTTGCAAAATTCATATACTAATTTTTTTTCCCGTCGCTGATCTGTCGCAAATTTTAGACATGATTTTTTTTCCATAGCTAATCCCTTGCAAAATTCATACATTAACTTTTTATTTTCCGTCACTGATTCGTTGCAAACTTTAGACATGATTTTTTTTCCCCTAGCTAATCCCTCGCAAAATTCATGCATTATTTATTTATTTATTTTTTGGTCACTAATCCGTCGCGAACTTGGAATATCATTTTTTGTATTATGATTCTAAAAGAAAAAATACTACAATCATCAAACTATTATACTAAAAAAACATCAAATAATGATACAACCAAACATTATAATACCAAAACTATCAAAGTTTACCAACGGTTAAGAACTGTCCACATAACATCAAACTCCCTGACAACGTTTTAACACCAAGAAATCCAAAGTATGCAAAAGAGGTACAAAAAAAAAAAATTTAACCTTCAAAATAAACATCGGGAAATGAGTTTTCACAAAACATAACTTCAAAATAACATTTTAGTTGCTCTCTTCGTTTCATGTCCATCCAATCATCTTCGGTTCTCATTCCTATATACCATTATTCAAAACAATCAAAAAAATATGAAATAATAATGATTTTGAACCTGCAAAACTTAAGCCAGCCTCTTTACAAGCAATGGTTGTCATCATCATGTGGGACCCATCAAGAGAGTGGACAAAGTTAGGAGGAAAGGCTGTTCTTTGTCTTTTCACCATCACCTGTGATAAAAAAAAACGTTATTTCTTGCATTTAGCATAATAAGGAAAAGGTTACGGATATAACCTTATCGGTTTCTCATTGTAGTGTCAAAACTTGAAGAGATGTCTTAATCTACACATTTCAAAAAGTTTTGGTTCGTATTAGCAAAAAAGCCAAAATACAGGGGCTTGATTTGACAATTTGACATACTAAAAGAACTCACAAGATGCCTTCCTAACTTGTGGTATGGTTGAACAACAGGAAGTCCAAGAGGAGTTGTCCATTGTACTGGATTGTTTTTCACTGCTATAACCTGTCAAAATTTATAAAATCAATAAATGTATAATCTTATCTTATAAAAATATAAAATTTTGACAAAGAACAGCCTTTCCTCCTAACTTTGTCCACTCTCTTGATGGGTCCCACATGATGATGACACAGTTCTTTTATTAAACATGTGAGTTTATTTATTTAGGCTTTGCTTACGGATTTTTGGCTAGCAAAAGAGTTGGATGAAAATGCATGTCACCTGAAATTATTCTTGGTAAAGGCCATGACAAGGCTGCTGATTGGTGGAGTGTTGGAATCTTGTTGTTTGAGATGCTCATAGGACAGGTGATTGTGATTTTCTCATTGGTAAAATTTTCCTAGTGAAATGACCGTTTTGCCCTTATCAAGTCTAATTTAATCTTGAACAGCCACCGTTTTATGGAGGAAACAGGGACAAAGTACAGAAAAAGATAGTGAAAGACAAGATGAAGCTCCCTGCATTTTTGTCAAGTGAAGCACACGCCCTTTTGAAAGGGGTAAGTGTATTTATTTTCTAAAAAAAAATTGAATATTGACAATGTTTGACCACAAAAAAATTATTTTTTTTTATATTTTTTTTAGTTGCTACAAAAGGATCCAAGCAAGAGGCTAGTCAATGGGGTAACAGGAAGTGATGAAATAAAGAATCATAAACTGGAAGAAACTGGATGCACGTGAAATGCAGCTGAGTTTTCGTCCGGAAGTTTCTGGAAATCAATGCATTGCTAACTTTGACAAATGTTGGACGGATATGCCCCTACTGAAATGGCTCATTTGACCTCTTTCAGGGGTTTACTTATTTGTTCTAAAAAACTTGTATTTTTGATTTTAATTTTAGTGTGTTTAATTACAATATTATTTGTGATATGCTTAGTCTCTATGGTTATTCATGAATAATTTAAATTTTCAATGCATGATTGTATGAAATTTCGATCAAGACATAATTTTGAGTTTTTGACTAGTTCCCACTATATATAAATCTTATGGTTATTCATGGATTATAAAAATTTTTAATTGGAAGAAACTCTTAAAATAGATTATTGCGATATATAATTATATAAGTCCATAAATTAAAGTTTGTTTTATTGATTTATATATAGTTAAAAGAAAATATACAAAGGAAGAGGCTCTTAAAAATTGCAATTTTATTTAAAAACAAAAAATTAGATGTCAAAACCCTTAAATTTTTTTGAGGTAACTAGAAGAAACAAAACTAAAAGCTCGTCATTATTTATTTTTAGATGTTAACATCTTTAAAAAAAATCTGCATTTTTATATGTTATTTTGTAAAATGTTATTCATATGATTTGAGTTGGGAGTTGGGGTTAAATGCAAGATATAGCAACATACGCCCATTTATTTGTTTATTGTTGCATCCTTCTTTTCTTCTTATTACAACATCTAATTCTCAAACTATCATCTAATTCTCAATTAACCTGTTAAATTCAACTAGCATAAAAAAGATATAAAAAAAACAGTGTCTATTCTTATATGAAGGCACCAAAAGATATAAAAAAAAACATAACAGAGCAGAACGTACCTTGATAATCTCTACCAGCTGATCTACACCACTGTCACCAGGAAAAAGAGGCTGTAAACGTCCAAAACTCATAAAGATCAGCAAAAGCTTTTTTAAAGTTGCAACTTTAAAAAATTCTAAGCCACAAGAGCACACAGAGAAAAAAGGAACTGAAAGTTAAAATGATTCTAAAAGTAATTACAAAAATGGTCGATATGATTTCTCATTTTTACTGTGTTTAGTTCCAGAATCAAAAGTTTTTCAACTTTAGTCCTTATTTCAAGGTTTCACATGATCACATCAATTATGGTCCCTGATTCCTAAAACTAAGAGAATATAAAAAATAAAACTAAGAGAGATATACATGATTTTAGTTTGGTAAAATGGGCAACCCCATTCCTAACAGACATAATGAAGCTAAAGAAGATAATGGACAAAATTACCCCTTAGAAGGTGCTTTCACATGGATCGTAAATATAGGCCTTCAAGTCAACAAGTTTTGCAGAGTTTGGAATAAATTCATATGGAGGCAACACTAATTTAACAATCCATTTTAGGTTCAAACTTATGCAAAGGTACTAATTACAATGATGCAACATCAAAAAGGGGAATTCAATAGTAAATCCGACCTTTCATTATCCTAAGGGCAATTTAGGAATTTCATATACGGGTTAAAATAGCTTTTTCAAAGTTACATTTTTGTAATAAATAAGACTCATTTATGATAAAGCCACAACTTTTTATACATAAATGTACAAATAATTTCTAGATTTAGATTTTAGGTGGTAAAAGGTCATCAACTTGTGTTGTATATTCAAGTTTTCTTCTAAAACCACTCTTTGGTCAAAATATCAATGGAATTTGAAATAATGTGTAAGAGTAGAAAATTTATAATAAAATCAGAACTCAAGAGATGGGTCTTTTATTGAAGTGTAAAGTCCCAAACAAACAATCAACTATGCATTTATTACATATTTTTCGTCTGGGGCATGAAAAACTTATGGACCAACCAATCAACTATGCATCTTAGGACAATATTATTAGTTTTATGACACCCCAATATTTAAGGACTTGTAAAAGCTACCCAATATTATTAGTATGTTGTACTTGAAAAGTTGAAAGTGGTTAATCGTAATAGTAATGTTAAAAGAATCGACACGATGTAAATTTATACAAAATGGACCAAAGAGTGGTGTTCGAGTTGTTAGCATGATCATTAATTCAACTCTTTTGATGTTTGGAAATTTCTACAAAATGGTCCCCTGCTTTCTGATTTTTTACCATATTTAGTTCAGAATCAAAAAAAAAATCAATTTTGGTCCTTAATTCAAAGCTTCACACCAATTTTGGTCCAGAGAACCTCAAAATCGATATGAAACCTTGAAACAAGAACAAAATTTTAAAAAGATTTCAATTGTGGACTAAACACCAAACATAGTAAATCTTAGAAAGCACAGGTATGACACTTACAGACGTCTCAACTGAGTGAGATTCCCTAACTCAGGTGTGAGTATTCCTTCCAAAGATAGCCTTTTGAGATCACTTCAAGAAAAGAACCGATAATTAGTTTTGTCTAGAGAAACCCATAAAGAAAATTATAATAAAGTACAAGTAATTAGTACTTTGGTGAATATCATCAATCAACTAAACATGAAAAAGGATATAAAAACCAAAATCATACATAAAGAACTCTTTATGTGTGATGGTTGAAAAATAACTAATCAGGTATAGCTTTTTTTGCTTCACCAAAAAATTAAACGGAAAATCAAAAGAAAGTCACTAAAAGAGGTTTTGTGCTTCCTTTTGCATGATTCTCATGAATTATTGCAGGTATCCAATTCCACCATTTGATTTTTCTGTCCAAGGAGTAACCTCTATATCAACAGATGTGCATAAATATGGGTTGGCACCCAAAGGAACAAGTATAGCTTTATACAGAAACCATGAAATTCGCAAGGTATATTTAGTATCTTAAAAATGTTAAAAGTTACAAAGTTTTTTATTTTAAACTGTCTGTAAATATACGCATGTGAAATTTTCCCTGAGCAACATCAAGCCTTGGGATTGTCAGCTGTAAGCAATTGTCCCCTTTTATTTTCTTTCTTTCTTGATACATAAAAAGATTCCAATTTCAAGTTGATATACTATTAGATACTAGTTATTGTTTTATTAGAATAATAAGCAACATGAATATTTCTAATAGTAGTGATAAGCAACATTTTACCTTCTTTTCTCTTTTACCCTATGATTGATTTAGGGCTAGGGTTTATTGATTTGTATATAATTCTAGACCACAAAAAGAAAACTAAATCAGTCATTAGGTGTCCAAATTAAGTACCCATTAAGTAAGAAAACGAACATCCCCTTTGTTATAATGAAGGATAAGCCACCTGTTTCTTCTCAAATTCACGTTGCCACCTCCTAAATATGAAAGAGAATTGGCGAAAACCTAAAAAAGTAAGGGTTCCTGAATCCTTAAATTCTCATAAACTGGAAGACAAACTATGATTAATCAAGCCCTAACTCAAGTTCTAATTCTAAGTGTCTATTCTTATATAGATGCAATCGATGGTAGACCTGAAACTAACTTGCAGATAACGAAGAAGGCATTTCATATGGCTACGAAACACAATAACCAGAAAGTTTCAAGGTAAATTAACCCCTAACGAAGTATATTGTGAAATTGAACTAAAACTAACCTAAGAGGGATGGGATTTACCTGAATCGGAGGTTAACGAAGAATACTTTCAGATTTAAAGATATGGAGGTTGCCGGAATCAGGTGAGTAGCGTCGTCATCTGTTCGAACAGAGATGGTGAGATAAAGCAGAACCTAATTACACTTAGTCAAGAGTGATAAAGCTGGAGGGAAGGAAAGTTACACCACCTTCGTGAAGATGGAACTGGGTGTGCCAATTTCAGCAAGAGAAAAAAGAAAACGTGCGTACCCCAAATAAAGTTTCCGTCATCGTTCTCTCGCTAAACATAAACCAGATGGCACAATTTTTTATCCCTCGCTGAACCCTAGCTAAGTGCCTTCATTTTTCGAGTGATCAGCGAGGAATAGTGGTGCATAGTTAAATACTTGCGAGATCCGTAGCTGATCCCTCGGTAAATCCTCCCACTAATTCCATATATTAAATAAATAAATAATTATCAAAAAAAATGGTAGATCTGTGGTATTTCCCTAGCTATAAGTCTAAATTTTGCTAGAGAATAAATCCGTAGCTGAAACTCAAGTTTCTAGTAGTATAATATTCCCAACCCGAAATTAACTATCAAAAAATATCTAAAATAATAAAACGGTTAATAATAATCATTACTAGGGGAAAGAAATATATTATTAGAACATTTCTAAATCAACAATATAACAAATATTGACAAATGTGGAATGCAATGCGTATGCTATTATTTCACATATCCCACGTCTCTACTCTCATAATAATTCCTTTCATACTAGGGGTAAAAATCATGAACTCTAAGCACGTCAATCACAATTGGTAAACAACATTGTTGAAACAGGTGGTAATTTCCAAGGTAATCCCAAAAGTGTAGGACATAATCCCAAAAGACCTAATACCAAATGAACATGATATAATCCCGAGTACATAACGTAATCAAAAAAAGTACTGGAAAGTATCCTAACACATACATAATGTAATCCAAAAAGTACGGAAGATAATCCCAAGAAGTACAAAACGTAATCCCAACAAATATTCGGGATTCCCAACAAGTACATGACATAATCCCAAGAATGTCAGATGTAATCCACAAAGTGTTCGAATTAATAATAGACAAATCTCACCCATCCTAAGTGTATGTACAAGTACATGATAAAAATCATTTCCACAATATCAAAGTTGTCCTCATTTACAATCGAATACCTTTCATAAATTCATACTGTACATATAGGATTCACACCACATAATTATATGATATAGCATAAAAAGGAAATTGAAGTCATAAAAATAAGATAAGAAAATGTATTGTTTGGTAATGAACTCATATCAAAGTTTGTATGCTAACATCTAACAAGCTCCTCTAAGTGTAGGAAGGGTCCAGGAACAGTTCCTCAGGTGTAGACTATCATTCATTGAGTTGTTATGAGATATAAAATGGTTATGGAACACCTATATTATTATAATAAAAAAAAAATAATTAACACTAATAACTCCCACTAAAGCTAATTAAGTTAATAAACTTAGCTCAATCATTTAACCTCTAAATATCAATAACCTGACTTTAAATCATCAAATGGAAGCACCTAATTGATCCTTTAGTGATCCAAGGTCAAACTAGGAATTTTGTGAATCTTTACATCTTCGTACATAGCCCAAGTGTTTTTTACAAAGGAAACACACTACATGCTCCCAGGGCCGGTCCATTCGTTTATGATGCCCAGGGCAAGATATTAAAATAATGCCCTTATTTTGTACCGAATAGTCCCAACATATTTATAATTTCTTTTAAAAACAAATATGCAAATAACTTATACTTCAAGAAAATGCATATTAATACAAACAAACACAATCCCAAATGCATAAAGTGTCATATGGATAAAGTATTTAAACTGATAATGGCGTGTGCGTATATAACGAGGTTTTTAGGCTCGTGCGTTGTGACAGGTGTTTAAGCAACGTTTTTTTTGTGATATCCATGTAGCATTTGAGTTATGTTAAAATGTGTGTCGCAAAATCATAAATAGCAAACAAAGATAACAAACCCTCGGGAATCATTGATGTTGTCTATACTTTCTGGTTGTACTCCAGTAACAAATAAAGATAACATACCCTCCCCATTATTCCGATCTCTTCCTAATTCTCATCATCATCAAATTCCAATGTATTTCGATCCCCAAATGCCCATTTCCCCACCCCCTATTTTGGCTTTTTTCTAGTTTGAATTTGAGATGCTTGCTGTTGGAACAGATGCTTGCTGGATCGTCATTTAAGAACCAAAGTTTCTAAACACAACATAGATGATGAAGGGCTCTTATGACATTCTATGATCAGCATCTTCCATGGCAAGCTGCTGCGCTTTTCAAAAGAAGAATTTAAATTCAATCACCACATAGAAAAACCCAAAATCTTTAAAAAAAAATACAATTTCGAAAAGTATTATTTGGATATTATCAACAGTTCAATAAAAATTGAAATTTCAAACTTATTTCTGGAAAACAACAGCTTAATAAAAAGTGGATAAGATTTAATAAAGATGCACATAGAGATGCTTGTCAAAGACATCAAATTTGAAGAACTAAACATAAATTATCTTGAAATTACAAAGAAGATACCTAAACAAGCAAGATTTACTGTTGTCATGAATATTAGCAGATAAAACAAAATTTTACCTAAAATTAGTAGCGTAAAACCATCCATGATCAAATTTCAACATCTAATTTCATTGTTGACAATGTACTGCACGTTTCCTCCACTAAAGAATAATTAATGTACCTGATTTCAGTTGTCCTTTCATCATCTAATACATAAATTACCATTTTCATAGCAAATCAAGAAACCTATCCAAAAAAAAACATTATTTTTGTATAATATTAATTGGGCCAGTTACTCCTATGATTAGCAAAGTAATTTCACCCAAAATTTGAAGAGGGGTTGTCCAGCATTAAACAACATGAAATCACCAAAGACAGTAAAAATTCAAATTAGAGAGAGGTCATCGATTATGAACAGAGAGGGAAAAAGAGGCATACTCAGGTATAACCAATCGTTCTAGAAACCTTATGATCAACTTGAAGTGGCCAAACATTATGTAAAATAAGTCCAACGAGATGCAGACCCCAGTAGAAATATACTCCCATTTCTTGTAAGCATATTGTCGAACAACTGTTGTACACATTCATTTAATGGAGAAGAAGATAAATGACAGTCCATAGATGTCGGGACGATAGCTCCAAGGCAGTAGATGAATACCAAAATTCAAAGAGGAAAGAAACTCCACATACAAGATTAAAAAGCATGAAGAATATTTAAAAGCCTTTCAGTTTCACGAATAATTCAAATGATCAGTAGTTAACCAAATAAAGGAGGATGTTCGATGTGCTAGATATTCGAATAAATGGAGTAAGAGATGTTTTTACATGTTACAGTCTCTTGAAGATCTCGACGATTCATCCCTTTCTTATGGAGGATACGGAGCGCATAGAGAGATTTCTCCTGGTCAATTGTATGCTAATAATCATGTTTCAAAGGACTTCGACGTTTGAGTATGTATTCAAACTTCCGACGTTTTTTTTTTTGACTATTTCGACATTTTTACTACGTCCGTCATGATTATTGTGTCGAAGAAAGTGAAGGGCATGTGGACTGTGGCGAAGATTATCCACTCGTCAGCTTATCGACGATGACGGTGTTTGTGTCTTTCCCCTTCTTCCCAATCAGTCCCTTTACTTAATACCCTTTTTATTACTGCACAATTAGCCCCTAAACATTTTAAGTTTTGAAGTTTGGCCCCCAACGACTTTAGTCTCACACATTTCACCATTTTTTTTAAACTTAAATATCAATATGGTCCTCGTTATATTTCCATTTGTTAGGTGTGATAGTCACAGTGATTTTATTAGATTATTTCTCATTTTTTTATGTTAGCATTTGTATTTTCATCGGTAAAAGTTATTAGGAAACCTTAGATAGGTTCCAAAAATTAAAAGTATTTAATTACCATTATTTTTGGTCACTTAGTCTTCATGTAGTGTGTATCATTTTTTTTTCATTAAGCCTACAATGTCGTGACTGTTACTTTTGTCACTAAGTCTCCAAGACCCTTATTTTCTATCATTAAGCATCCAATGTAGTGACTATTATTTTTTGTCATTAAATCTTCAATGCAATGACCACTAATGCTTATTATGATGTTAGAAAAAAATTATTTTAATTTTATTTTATAGTTTAGTGACCTGTAAATGAAGACCTTCATATATAATAATAGTCATTAAATATTTAGCAGTACTAAAATTCAATAATGATTAATATATGATGACAAAATGATATTGTTAATGACAAAATGTTCGGTCGTCACTAAAAATCGGTCACTAATAAGGAGCTTTCTGGTAGCGATAGTATGTCGCGATTATGAGTACATTGGTTACTATAATGGACAAAAAGTTAAACTATGTTGTTATTATGAGTACATTGTTATATAGGATAAAAAGTATAGTATGTTTTTATTACTGATTAAATTTATAACATGTTCCTATAATAAACTAAAGTACATTGTTATAACGGTTTAAAATTTTAGTTGATTTAATAACTATATATGCTTTTTTACCATTCTTAGTTAGAAAGGTTGCGTAGAGAAATGGCTAGCCTTCAGGAAATCGAAGTGGAAAGGGAAGTGCAAAGGGAATTGAAAATAGATTAAATGCGAAGAAGCAAGCATTATTTGAAGTCTAAAGGACAACTTTTTCTACCAAAGCAATCCACCTGGAAGTCAGCCGAATAAAATAAAGACAAAACTTCAAAACTGGTCCCTGTGGTTTTCGAAAATATCAAGTTTAGTCTCTAAGTTCAAAAAACCTCACAGATAGTCCATGTGGTTTCAAAACTTTTAACATTTGGTCCTTCCGGCTCACTCCGTTAGCATTTCACCGTTAACTCATTTTTTAATTTTATATTGCAGGGGTAATTTCGTCATTTCAGTTGTAACCTTCTCTCTTTAATATGAAATGATTACCTATTGCTTGCACGTCACTACCCGTCCCTCTCCCAAGAAGATAACCAGTTACATCTGTATTCATCGGGTTCATTCCCATCGTAGAAGCAAGAACAGAAATTGGGATTTAGGGTTTTAAGCTGCAGGAATTGCAATGGTGCTATCAATATGGTGTTTTCGAGAAAAATTTGTAACCGTGGAGGACTTAGGAAAAAGATACGGTACAATACTACAACAAAACTTGTTTTTTCTTGGTCGTTTGTGTTCACGTAAAGAAATCATTGATTTTACTCTTTTTTTTTTTTTTTTTTTTTGCAGAAGGATATGACAACTATTTCACGTTGAAGATACACTACAGTGGTGTCTTCACCAAAGCACCTGGAAGGAAATACGTTGATGGTGTTGTAGCATATGTAGATGATGTTGACACTGATTTATTATCAGTTCATGAGCTTGACGACATGGTCCGAGAACTAGGGTACAAAACTGAGCAAACCCTTTACTACCATTTCTGTATCCCTGAATACCCTTTGGACTATGGCTTAATGCCTTTAGGTAATGACCAAGATGTACTTAAAATGGTATCATATGTCCCTAAACACAGACTTATTAGGGTGTATATTGAAACTGGTCAGACAAGGGTAGCTAGTTATTACAAGTCTCCTTCTAAAGTTATTCTTGAAGAGTTGGAGCCTGATAGTGTGCCACCTAAAATGAATAGAAAGAAACCTTGTAGGAGAGAAGCAGAATCATGTAGTAGAAAGCTTGATCTAAACAAGTCTATGAACCCTGATTATGAGCAGTCACAAGTATTAGATGTAGATGAAGGGCATGATTACGCAAAGAGTATTCTGCCATTTATAAGGTCACAAGCTAGCAAACAAAGTCATGTCATTCAAGAGGAAGTAGTGAATCATGAAATTGAAACTCAAGAAGAAGTGATCACTAGTGCAGTTGAAACTGAAGAACCATTGGGAACTTACCATGTACAGGAACCAAGCTGCCAAGCTGATGATGGAGCTAAGACTGCAACAGTTGATGACTATGAACCATTTATAGAGGATTACTCACTTTATGCTGATTATGATGCTGAGTTTAATGTTCAAACTTCATTTGAACAACAACCAGAAGTGGATTATCTAGAGGGTATGGTGAGTGATGATAGTGGAGAGGCTTTCTATTCTGAGAGTGGCCATGGTTCTGAGGATAGTGGAGATGATTCTAATAACAATGAGTACAATGTGGATGAGTCTAACATACAATTTGATGTAGATGTAGACATGAGTGAATTCCATAATGCTGTTGATGTAGATGAACATGGAATCTTGAACAATCATTCAAAAGATGAAGGGAATGACATGGTTGATGACGAGTTGAAAGTTATTGCCACTGATGATTATCAATTTGCGGGATTTCATGAAGATGATAGGAAGAGACTGCTAAAAGAGTTGAGTAAGTCAAGTACATGCTCACATGGAGAGGTTCATGTAAAACCATTTCAGATTGGCCAGGTCTTCAAAACCAAGCGTGATGTTAAAAACTACATGAACTCACACGCTGTAGCAACAAGGAGGTCTTTATACCTAGCAAAAAATGACAAAATCCAAATTAGGGTGAAATGTAAAGGTGTTGTAAGTAAGCCATCTAAAGTAGTTGATGGTGGTGGGCCCTCAACTAGAAGTAGGGCAAAGTGCAAGGGTAAAGATGTAATTGCTAATAAAGGTACATGTCCATGGGCAGTCCAAATATCGAGGGCTAATGAAAATCAGGATTGGTTGGTGAAAACAGTACAGGATGAGCATAAATGTTTGCGAACAAGGGTGGTTAAAGCTTGCACTTCCAGATACGTAGCAAACTTAATTGTTCAACAAATTCAGAGTAACCCTAAAATTCCAGTGAAAACTTTACACGAAGAGTTGTGCAAGAAACTAGAGGTAGGAATGTCATTGCAAAAGGTTGCTAGGGCAAAGTCAATGGCTGAACGTATCATTAGTGGGGACTACCAAGTACCGTATGGATTTTTGAGGGATTATGTGTTGGAGCTACTCAACACTAATCCTGGTACAACAGTTCAGATTGATGTGTATCCAGAAACCTCCCTGTCTATTACCACAAGAACTTTTAGAAGAATATATGTCTGTCTGGGTGCATTGAAGTTAGGATTCAAATATGGGTTAAGAGATTTTCTAGGTCTGGATGGTACTTTCATGAAGGGCCCTTACCCTGGGCAAGTGTTAACTGCTGTAGGGTTGGACTCAAACAATGGCATATACCCTGTAGCATATGCAGTGGTAGAGACAGAATCAACAAGTAGTTGGACCTGGTTCTTGGAACTGTTAGGAGAAGATCTGGATCTGGGAGCAAATTCAAACTTTACATTCATTTCTGATAGACAAAAGGTGTGTATCACCTAACTTTTTTTAGTACCATTTCTAAATACATTTGGGTAACTGATGTTGCATACATTGACTTTTGTTTAGGGAATAATACCAGCAATGGAAAAGGTATTCCCTAGTGCAGAACACAGGTTCTGTTTGAGGTATATCCAGGAAAACATGAAGAAACAGTGGAAAGGAAAAGACTTAAGTGACCAGCTTTGGGAGTGTGGTAGAGCAACAATAGTCAATCATTTTAACAGAGCAATGGATGAGTTGAAGAAGATCAATGAAGAGGCTCAAGCTTGGGTGTGTAAGATCCCAGCAAACACTTGGGCTAAATCTCACTTTAGTGGTAAGTTTCTAGAAGTTTATTGATAAATGTTAATCTTCCCTGTTGTGTGTTTACTAATTGTGTAATTGTCTTCTCTTAATATCTATTATTCAGGAAGGGCACATACTGATTGTTTGTTGAATAACCTTTGTGAGGTATTCAATTCTAAGCTAGTTGAAGGTAGGGATAAACCTATTATCACTTGCTTAGAGTATATTAGAGAGTATCTCATGAAGAGGTTATGTGTGGTGCAAAAGGAAATAGATAAGTGTGAAGGACTTGTAACCCCTACTGCAACTACAATGTTTGAAAAGATTAAGACTGATGCAACTAAGTATGTGGCTAAATACAATGGGGCAGGAAAGTACCAAGTGGAAAGCACATGGCAAGACCAGTATGTGGTAAACTTGAATGACCAAAGTTGCAGTTGTAGGTTTTGGGAGATTACAGGTTTCCCATGTAGACATGCTATTTATGCTATATGGGACAAAATTGAAAATGGTGAAAATGCCCCACATGTTGATGAATGGGTCCATCCTTGCTATAGGTTATCAACATGGAAAGCCATGTATTTCAACAAAATTGATCCATTGAATGGACGTTCAATGTGGCCTAAACGTGACTGCCCATTCACTTTACTTCCACCAAAACATAAAACACAGGTTTGTATTTCAAGTAGACCAATTATATAGTAAACATGTGAACATGGAATGAATTCAATTTTAACTATAGTGTATCAATATGTGTAGGTTGGAAGGCCTAAGAAGAAGAGAAGGAGGGGTGTTGATGAGCCAAACAGCCAAGCTGGTAGATTGAGCAGGAAATATATGGCAGTCACTTGTTCTAAGTGTCATATCAAAGGGCACAATTCCAGAACATGTAAAGGGCAGGGAGGCAGTGGTGAAGTTGGAGGGGGCTGAAAAGTATTTTTAGTAGTTGGACCTGGTGCTAGTGTTGTAGGTCTTTTGAAACTAAAGTCATGTGTAATTGTTTGAAGACGTGTTAAGAAATTTTCAGGAATTGCATGTAATGCTTGTGTTGTAGGTCTTTTGAAACTTAAGTCAAGCTTGTGTTGTAGGTCTTTTGAAACTTAGTATGATGATTGTGTTAAGAACTTTAAAAATTTGCATGTAATGGTGTGTATGCAGTATGCACATTTTGGTAATGAATTAATCTTTTTTGTGTACTACCCTTCACAGATCAATTAATAACATTGTACATTTCAATTGCAAATCAAAACAATCTTAAATGAGCATTTACAATACACTTAACAATTGCATTTCAAAAACATTCAAGAAATTGAACAATCAACTATTACAAACTACATTCCATTACCATTACCATTACCACTCCATTACACATTAATCTGATACATAAACCAAATACAACAACACCAATTCCAAAACCCCCTACATAAACTGAAAGCAAAAAAACCCCTATTCGGATAAAATAAAAAAAAACCCCTGCAATGGTTACAAACCAAAAACCAAAACTCGATTACCATCTAAATGTTCACAAGATACTTAGAGATTAAAATAATACCAAAAAAAAACACCCATGAACAAAACAACATCAGCCGGTAGTTCCACAATTCTGCACTTGCAATGGCAACCCTTTCTTCCAATCGGTTTATTGATCTTATCAAACCTCGAATCACCACCAATGCCCTAGCACACATAGGAGGATCAGACCATCGAAGGAACCCGCATCTTGTACAGTTCCAAAATTGTCTTCCAGGGTTACGATCCGTCCATGAAGTGATCTTCATTGCTTCATTCCCACATCTGCAAGTCACCATCTTTGAATCAGAAGCGATTGGATGTCGTGAAGGGTGCAACGGTCGAGCAACAGTGGAAGGGGAAGAGAGATGACGACTGATAAAGGTAAAGGGTTTGCCCAAAAACCGGACATGCAATTTCTTTTAAAGAGAGAAGGTTACAACTGAAATGACGAAATTACCCCTGCAATATAAAATTAAAAAATGAGTTAACGGTGAAATGCTAACGGAGTGAGCCGGAAGGACCAAATGTTAAAAGTTTTGAAACCACATGGACTATCTGTGAGGTTTTTTGAACTTAGGGACTAAATTTAATATTTTCGAAAACCACAGGGACCTTTTTTGAAGTTTTGTCTAAAATAAATATTTTGTTTCTAATCTAAAACAATTTATAATTGTATGTAGATTGCATGTATTTTGTTTGACACTTATTATTAGGATGTTTAATTACTTATGTTGGACTATTATTAGACTTTTTAATGTATTTGTTTTTTTTTTCTACATGTGTTAAAAAAACTGGATTTTTTTTATTTATACGATTTCTTTAAATGATTTTACTGACGGAATAGTGACCGAAACATTTGTCATGTCAATGTATGACAGTCGGTGTCCGTCAGTAATCAGTCACAAAATCAACCGTTGGTACTATTTACCAACGAGGGTTTTACCAACCCACTTCCATCCAATACTAGAAAACTAAGTAATTATCTACAACGGAATTAGTAGGAAATCCGTAAGAACAAGGCGATACCTACAGATTTCCTACAAAAAACGGGTTGTAGGAAAAACCCTCGTGGGTAATTTTTCCTACAAATTAGCTACAAACCTTCCTACACATTTCCTACAGAATATTCTGTTACAAATTTAACTACAGAATACCTACGGAACACGTTAACTACGGAGTACCTACATATTACCTACGAGTTATTTACCTACGAAACACCTACAAAATACATGCAAATTATTTTCTTACAGAATACGTACAAACTGATTTTCCTACATAATACATACCAACATCTTTTCCTACAAAATACCTACCAACATCTTTTCCTACGGAATACTACCAACTACTTTTGCTACAGATTACCTACAAACTTTATTGGATTTTATTTCCTACAGAATACCTACATAATATTTATTTCCTACAAATTTTCTATGATTTTTTTACCAGTTTTTATTGCTATATTAAATTTATAATTCCTACAGAATATTTATTTCCTACAATCAGTCAAAAATCTATTGCTCTATTAAATTTATAATTTAAAAAATATCCAAATTTTCTGCTAAAAAACCAAATAAATAATTAAAATAATAGTCAAATACCATTACATTCATTAACATTAAAATAGTCAATAACATACCACTCATACATTCAAATACTCAAAATACCATTACAATACCATGACAAAATCTAAGAACTAGTCAATAGCATAACATTCATTAAGTGTTTTAAAACAAAAACTAAGAACTACTTGGTGGATTACCGGACAAATTGATTTTTTTCATAAAGGCCGCCAATTGTCGTTGCACTTGCAATTCCAATTTCATTTCGCATTTGTTGCATTTGCAAATTCAATTTACCTTGCTTTTCATCCATGGCTTGTTGCATGTTTGATACTTGTTTTCACAACTCATTTACCTAAATATAGCAAGATAAACACATGCAATTAGTAAATGTAATTCAACTTTAAACCATGATTGCAATGTACTTTACTTTTAATTCAATATAAAAACACACTACTCATAATAACAATGTACATTGTTTTTAATATCCATAATAATAACTTTTAATATGCATAATAATAACATACTATATTTTTATCAATTACAGCATTGTACTTTACATTTCCAATCCATAATATCAATGTACTTAAATTATTATCAATAACACCAATTTACTTTACCTAATATCAAAAATAGCAACATACTATAATTTTCACCCATTATAGCATTATGTTTTACCTAATTTAATAATAGCAACATAGTATCATTTTCAACCATAATAACAATGCACTTTACCTAATATTAACAATGGCAACATATTTCAATTTGCACCTGTAACAACAATATACCTTACCAATATCAACATATTTTTTTCATCCATATTTGGTACCTCTTTACTTGATTTTTTTCTCTATAATATATTATGCAAATAATTCTACATCCTGTTGTGACTTTGCAAAGTCAGCAGAAGCTGAAGTTGACTCATAAGAATATGAACCCGTCATCAGAAAGTGAAGATCCGAGTATCTTGCCCCATAGATAGGACCTTTTTGTTTCCCACCTTTCCTAAGCAACTGTGTTTGGGTCCACAATTCAGGATCATTCACATTATGTTGAGTCGGATCATCACCGTATTTTTCAGATAGGGCTTTGTTATATGATTCCTACAGTATACCAAAAGAACGCTTTTCTCATTGTACTAAAAAGTAAAAAACCAATATTAGTAAATATATAAAAAGATAAAGACAACTTACGATCGCCACCCTAGATGTCTCATTCACAAAAGATAAAGACAAATACATGATATACTAAACATATGCTGCGTATGTAAATATGTGTACTTATTTGTATTTGTGTATACAAAATAACTTTGATTTAAATAAATAAAGAAAAGTTCTAAATGAGCAATGGTTCTAATGATGCATACGTTTGTATGCAAGTTTATGTTATGTATAACTTGATTAAAACAAAGCAATGAAAGTATAATGATGTTGTGAAAAAAATGAAACGAAAAAAACGACATTTGGCCCTCAAAAAATAGAAAATACAAAAACAACCGTAGGTAATCTGTATGTAAATACCTACGGATTACCGATTACCTACAGATATAGGTAATCAGTAGGTAATCCGTAGGTATTTACCTATGGATTACCTACGGTTTTTTATTATTTTCTATTTCTATAGGGTCAAACGTCGTTTTTTTTTTGTTTCCTTTTTTTCACAACATCATTATACTTTGATTACATTGTTTTCACCAAGTTATACATAACATAAACTTACATACAAACGTATACGTCATTATAACCCATTACTATATATATAATATACAAAAACCTGTCTATGTTTGTTCTTATGCAACAATTATCATCATTAAACAAATACATGATATACTAAACATAATACATACATATGTTGTGTATGTAAATATGTGTACTTATTTGTATTTGTGTATAGAAAATAACTTTGATTTAAATAAATAAATAAGTTCTAAATGAGTAATGGGTTCTAATGATGCATACGTTTATATGCAAGTTTATGTTATGCATAACTTGATTAAAACAAAGCAATGAAAGTATAATGATGTTGTGAAAAAAATTGAAATGAAAAAAACGACATTTAACCCTTAAAAAATAGAAAATACAAAACCAACCGTAGGTAATCTGTAGGTAAATACCTACGGACTACCTACATATATAGGTAATCGGTAGGCAGGGCCGGCCTTAGGGGAGTTCAAGAAGTGCCATTGAACAGGGCCCACTCTTTAATGGGGCCCAAAATTTTGTGCACGCCCAAATTAGTTTTTAGGTTATTGTTTGTCCAATGCATACAGCAACAGAGCAGACGTATGCATCAAATGGAGCAGGAAATTAAATTGAAGTTTGTCCAACGATTGGTTTCTCGATGTTGGATTTTACGCATGAAGGGTGAAGACGTTTGGTTTCTCCTGTTAATGGTAATATGATTTTTTCATGTGTGCCCTGCTATTATCTTACGACCTCAAAACCCCAACTCCATAAATCCTCAAGTTCATCAGGACTATATCTTAGCAAAAAAACCCAACTTTCTTTACTGTTCTTGTCTTGCTTCCTGATTTTCCTCAAACGATTCAGATTTTCATTAAGTGATTGGAGCTTCGATGTTCTTGTCAGCATGAATTTGGATTTCATTCTTGATTCTTCAAGTCTCCAAGGTTATTCTCTTCTATTTTTACTCATCTTTTTGTTCTGATTTTGTTGCTTAATGTGGTAGATTTTTTTTTTGAGTTTGTGTTTAACTGTTACCATTATAGTGTTGCTGAAGAGATTTGTTTGTGTTGGCTGTCGCATTATCCTTGTTCTTGGTTGTTGCTTAAGAGAATTTTAAGAGGGAATTCAATAAATCTTATTTAACTTTTATATTTTTATATTTGTGATTTATACATTTCAGATCCCGGTTTCTGATTTTTATATTTCTTTCTTTCTTATTCTGATTTTATATATTTCAGTTTAATCAGTTTTGGCTTGGTTGATCAAGTGCAAGAAATCTACAAATCAAAGAAGAAAAAGAAATTTGCAATAAGAGATGTTTTTTTTTCCTTTCTATGATATGTCTTTTGGAGTTAAAAACTATGAATGTGGATATGAAAAACATAAGAATTTTATGTATATTACAGGATGAAATAAAAAACTAGAGTTTCATATATATTAAAATGATATTTTGTTCTTGAAGTTTATTATGAGATGGAATGAAAAACTAGAATTTTATGTTTCATATTATTTTATATTTTATAAGTCTTAGGGCCTATTTTTCCTAATTTGCACAGGACCCTCTGAATCTCGGGGCCGGCCCTGTCGGTAGGTAATCCGTAGGTATTACCTACAGATTATCTACGGTCTTTTTTTATTTTTCAATGGTCAAATGTTGTTTTTTTCGTTTCATTTTTTACACAACTTCATTATACTTTGATTGCTTTGTTTTAACCAAGTTACATATAACATAAACTTACATACAAACGTATGCATCATTATAACCCATTACTAGATACATAATAAACAAAAAACTATCTATGTTTGTTCTTAAGCCACAATTAACATCAATAAACAAATACATGATATACTAATTATTATTATTTTTAATTGTTTGTGTTTTAAATATGTAAAAACAAAACGATCAAAAAAAAGTTTTAAGACTCAAATAATGAAACATAATAATAATAGGAATAATAATAATAATAATAATAATAATAATAATAATAATAATAATAATGAGAATAATAATAATAATAATAATAATAATAATAAATCTATTTCGTAGCTATTCTGTAGCTATTTTGTAGTCATTCTCTTCCGTCGTTAGTCCGTAGCTATTCTGTAGCGAATTACCTACGAATTTAGTTTCGTCGCTATTCCGTAGCAATTTTGTAGCTAATTACTAACAGAATACCCAGGATTTTCGTCTGTAACTATTCCACAGCTATTTGTAGCTATCGGGTTACTAAATTAGGACATCCCATTTCGTAGGTATTCTCTAGGTATTGTGTAGGTTATTACCTATGGAAATTTTGCGAAGCTAATTTTCTATAGCAAAAACCTTTGTTTTCTAGTAGTTATCGGAAACAACCTCTACCGATGGATAAGGCGGTCGATCGATGCTTTTCCAGTTTTCTAGTGGTGGCAACCTCATGAAACACCTCTTACTGGCGTCGTTGGAAGTGTGAACACAACAAAGGAGAGCTATCTAGAGGAGCGTGGAGATGATTAACTTTGCTTCATCTCGAATAATAATTGATAGGGTTGAAGGAGGAGATTTGGTAGTGTAAAAGGAAGTGAGTGAGAATATAAAATGAAAGAAGTTGTGTGGGCTAGCGAATTAGCGAGTTAGAGGAAATAGCGGGTATTTCTTTGATAAGTGGTATAATGATGGTTTTTGGATAATATATAAAGTAGTTATTTTAATGAATAACTCTTAAAAATGTTTATTTAAATAATAATAAAACAACTTCAAATGATATCTTTTGTTCTTTTAAACATTATCATTATTATGATGAATCATGTTAATTTTTTATAAGGATTAAATTTGCTCAGCTTAACTGCACATATAACGATAAACAACAAATCACGGATTTAATCAACCACTAGAAACGAATCCAGCCAGTACACACATCCCATTATTAAAATTCTACAATATTAAATCCTGATTTGTGATATTGAAGCAAAGTCACGGTAGGAGATGTTGATTGACTTCAAATAGTCTCATGTCGTCTTCTTCCAGACTCACCATGGCTTCAATACCGTCTCCATCTGGTGTATCAGTCAAGATGAAAGTGTTCTTCACTAACACATCTGCAACGCTGACCCACTTTGGAGATCCCCATCCGAAATCCATTTCATAAAAAGATGTCTTGCACATACTGCTACACCTGTAAACATCAAGATCATCAAACAACTCCTTTACATTGCCTGCAAACTCCCTAACATCCTTCAACCAATCACTCAAATCTTGACTATTTCCACCCTTACAAACTCCTTTGAGCCCATTCTTCAAATCAAGTACCACATTACTTAAACTTGTTTCCTTCTGATCATCGTTTGATATTGTGAAATACCAACTGAAGTTTCCGATAGAATTTTCGGGTAAGGGTGGAGTCATTCGTGATCGCATGTTCACCAGTTGAACCCATGTTGATTTTCTAAAAGAACCCGTTTTAGCTATTGAAGCAGCCATCACGCATTTGTAAAGATGTGCAGTCACAACTTGAACCTTCGTGGGGTTTTGCACAAACCCACCAACAGATTTTTTCAATCCGGCTATTATCTTTGCATCAAAAACGTACCTCTTTGTGACACAAGTATTACTTTTGTTCATCACTATTTCAGGCACCCTGAATCCAAGATCCAAAGAAGGTATGGATGTAGCAAGGATCATCGGTGCTGGTATCACCTCGCCACGTGTCATGGCAGCCCAGTCACTCAGAAAAGTAGCAACCGACGTTCCATCTGCAACCTTATGGGATATGGAAACAGAAACCACCATTCCACCGCCTTCAAAAGATGTTACTTGAGCTGCAAAAAAACTCTCATCTATACATGACCCTTTCCACAAAAAACCTTCAGCAAACAGTAGCTTCTGTGTCTCGAACTTAGGGTTTTGAAGGAAAGAAGCTAACCCACACCCCAAAATCTTTGCTTCCACAAAAACCACTCCATGATCACCACAATCAACCGTGATACCATCTTTTTGAAGCCTACCCGCAAAAGGGTAGTACTTGATTAGGGTTTTAGATAGTGATTCCTTCAAAGCAGCACTACTGGTTAGACTTTTGGACTCGTATACAAGCAAGATCGGATTATATGAGTGCAAAGTGAGTTGATCGAGCAACGAAAGTTTAAAAGTTTTTAGCTGATTTGGGGTTGGAGATGAAGGTTTGATGATTTCTTTGGAGATTATCTCCATTTTCATTGACCTTTTGGCAATGTAAGAAGCCATGTAATTCATTGACCTTTTGGCCATGACTGAAGCCATGTGTGTACGAGTAGAATACATGACGATGACTACAGAAAAGAGACGCCGATGGTCTTCTTCAAATGAAAGTTTCCATCTCTTTATAAATACTTTGAATTGTCTGTCTCATAATATAAAAAGTTTGCCTTAGGGGTCATTTGCCAGCATGCGTAAAACTGAAGATAAAAAATAATCGAACAACTTGAATTTATAAGATTCCGTTAATGAATTCCCGCCTTCCCATACTACGTTCCCTTGTCTTATTCAAATGCTTTGTGTTCTTTAGTGACTTGTTTAATTATTGAAATATTTTATTTGAGATAAATAATATATAGGTTATTTTTAATTATTACTAGTGTCAGCAACGTTCTAAAGTGGTGACGTTCAAAATAATCAAGATGTTGGGTTTTTCTATTAATTAAACGCTATAAGTTCGAATTTTAATTCCATACCCTATACGAAAACATGACATTAGCACTACAAGAAGATTGGGCAACAGCGGCGAGGTTAGGGATGTCGCCGCTAATACTTATAGCGGCGACGTGTCGCTGCAAATGCGTCACCTGTAATGCTTCGTCGCTAATACGCTTCTTGTCGCCGCTAATACTGCACGTCGCCGCTATTGACCTGTCGCCGCTAATAGTTTGTCTCCGCTAATACATATATGTCGCCACAAAATATGTCGCCGCAAAAACTGTTTTGATTTTTTTTAATTTATTTATTTAACATTAAATTTATAATCAATCCAAATATTAATCCATATAGCATTTATAAAATCTGATAACTTTTTATAGAAATATTAATCCATATACAATCAATCCAAAATATTAATCCATACCACATTCTAAAGTATTCTTCCAAATTACAAAACATTTCATAAAATCCTAAAGTAACTACTCATCCTCATCATTTCCTTCATTATTTGGTTGCGGCAATAAGCGAAACCACTCTTCCAATGCTGCAAAACAGGCCGGGTACTTTAGTATTGTTTGCAACATTTCCAACTACAAAGGGGTTGTCGGTAATGCCAAGATTTCTTGTAGTGTAGCTGTAACTTGTCAAAAATCATGACAAAATTTTAATTTTTAAAATCATCACAAAATTCATAATTCATACAAAATATAGTTCCAAAACAACATAAGTCTGGATTGCCCTCCTAGCCCACATGTAATGTCTGGATTGCTCATGACCCACATCATAAGTCTGGTTTACCTTCCCGACCCTCAACCTATGAGTGAATTGCTCTCAGGTTTGTTGGCTTCCGCACAGAGCAGTAATGCCTCAACCCAACCGTACTATGTCAACATATGCAACAGATAAACATATAGCCAACACACAGATAATTATAAATATCTACTAGTCCAATAGAACACTACAACATACCAACATCATATATACCAGGATACATCATACAACCTAGTGGGCCGACATTGGTGTCTTCGACCCACAAGTACAGTGAGGAAAACTCACCTCACAATCTGAATGACAGCTGAATTGATCACTACTCGAAACAATGGCTCTACGGGGTCGCATGTACAACACACAGGTACCAAGCCTCAATCTACTATTCAAAATACCCCAAATAACCTAAAGTCAAACTTGGTCAAAAGTCAAAGGTCAACCTCCAGCTGTTCGCCACGCTGTGACCATCATTAGCCACGTCATGGCCGCTAAAGGAAAAAGTAGATAGATTCCTACCCGTTCGCCATGCCGTGACATCCTAAGGGTACGTCGTGAGGACTGCTCTGGATAACTTAATCCATTAAGTCGTTTTCCTACAACTTCAAGAACTCCAAAGCTCAGATCTAGTCCTTCCAATGGTGTTGATGGATAAAGTTTCCAACTTTATCCATTAAGACACCTTAACAAGTCAAGATCCCAAACCTAAATTCCTTAAAGGTAACAAAATGCATAAAGTCACCCATTAAATACCCAATCTATAGAGTTGCTCACCCAAGGTTTCCAGAATGGTTTTTTACACCCAATAAGCCATAAAGGTCATAGCTTTTATAGACATGCATGTCAAATGCATGTCACTTCTATTTTAGGTACAAAAAACATGGCAATAAGAACTCAAGCTTGAGCATGGGACTAAAAATTCTATAGATTCTCCGATATGGAACAAATGACACTAAAACGACCACATGGATCCATAAAGTTGCCAACTTTATGAGATCTAAGCTTCCAAATCCTCACACCATGAAGATTAACGGACAAAAGGCTAGATTCGGAGATAAGTAACATAAGATTGATTCTTCATGACTAACACGAGTCCTAAAAACATGCACAAGAGAGATAGGGATAGTTGCTTGTTGAAACAAAGCCCAAGGGTGCCTTCTTCTTCTTCAAATCACCACCAAACACACAAAAACTCAAAGGTTAGCAATGAAGTCTAGGGTTTTCACTTGGAGGCTGAGGGTGAGTGATTGAGGTTGAGGGTGGGCAACACTAGCCATCACATTGCCATATATAGGGGCTCAAACCCCGAATTAGGGTTTGTCACTATGTAGTGGCCACTCCGTGGAGCTAGCTTAAAGCCCATGAAACTTTGGCTTTGGCCACATCGTGGGACTCCATTACCACGCAGTGGCGACCAAAAATTTAACATCAGAATTATTAGATTACTTAAAAGAAACATGCTTGAAACATACCTGAAAGTGGGCGTTAAAATCCCCCCTACTTAAATCAGACTTCGTCCTCGAAGTCCCCAACTGCAAATGAATATGCGTAGTGCTCCCGCATCTCTGCCTCAGGTTCCGAAGTCTACTTGGAACCTTTCCAATGCTGCCATTGGACTGTGACTAAATGTACCACCTTGTTGTGCAAGGCCTTCATCCTCCTCTATAGAATCACTATTAGACTCTCCACATAATTCAGACCCTCATTAACCAAAATGTCATCCATAGGGATCACCGTTGAATCGTCAGCTACACATTTCTAGTGCTATGAATCTGGCGAAGCTCCTCAGGCAGATTCAATCGATTGGCCACCTAGCCTACTCAAGCCACTACTCAGAATGGTCTAATAAATCGTGGCCCCAACATGCCCCACTTCCTAAATCTTATAACACCCTTCCAGTGTGATACCTTCACTAAAACCATATCCCCGACCTTGAACTCTATCTCGGATCGTCGTCGATCAGCACAACTCATCTATCGACTTTGGGTTGTCTACAATTACTGTCTGATATGCTGAATAAGCTTCGTAGTCTGAAGGACCACCTCGGTCCTACCCATGACCCTGTGGCTGACCTCTCCCCAACAAATTTTCGTGCGACACTTCCTTCCATAGAGAAGCTCGAAAGGCAGTGCACCAATACTTGAATGATAGTTGTTGTAGGAAAACTGGACTAGGGGAAAGTAGGAGTGCCAAATTCCTACCAAAATAGATGACGCAAGCCCTTAACATATCCTTGAACATCAGAACGGTCTGATCACTCTGTCCATCAGTCTCAGGGTGATAAGCAGCGCTGAAATGTAGCCTCGTACCCAAATCCTCATGAAACTTCTGCAAAAATCGAGAAGTAAACCATACATCACGGTTGTAGACAATAGAAACCGGCATACCGTCGCGAGCCACGATCTCGTGCACATACACATCGGTCAATTTTTCAACCGATGAGCTCTCCTGAATGGCAAGAAAATGGGCACTCTTGGTTAATCAGTCGACAATAACCCAAATCACATTTAAATCCCTTGGTCGTCCTCGTTAACTTGGTGATGAAATTCATAGTGATCTACTCCTATTTCTATTTGGACACCTCCAATGACTGAAGCTTGCCATGCGGCCTCTTCTGCTCTGCCTTAACCATACGACAAGTCAAGCATCTCTTCACATACCATGCTATCTCCCGCTTCATGCAGGGTCACCAGTAACTAAGTCTCAAATCTCGATACATCTTAGTGGATCTAGGATGGATCGAGAATGTGGACTTGTAAGCCTCCTCCAACACTATCTGTCGAACTCCTCCAGAAAAAAGGCACTCGTACCCGACCGCACCGGGTCAAAAGTCCGCGACTACCGGTAGAAAATCTTTAAATCTCGCTTCTGATCCTCTCCTGCTTTTAATTATCTCTCTTGACCCCTTTCCTAAGCCTCCCTAATTAGATCCAAAAGTGGGGAACTGTTGGTAATCCTTAAACAATGTTCTCAGACAGGAGTACTAGCCGCCCTGCGGCTCAAAGTGTCGGCGACCACATTAGCCTTACCTGGATGGCAAAGAATCTCACAATCATAATCCTTGATCACGTCAACCCATATGTGTTGCCTTATGTTCAGATTCGGTTGATCAATAAGATATCTCAAACTCTTGTGATCCGTGTAGATGGTATATCGAACACCATAGAAATAATGCTGCCAAATCTTGAGGGAAAAACCACTACCCCCAACTCCAAATCATGAGTTTGATATCTAACATCATTAGGCTTCAACTGGTTGGATGCATAATAAAAGACTCTACCTCTCTCCAATAGAACCATCCCTAAACTTGTGATTGACATATCACAAAATAACACAAAATCCTCAACACCATTAGGAGGGTCAATACCGGGGCCTCACATAACTTCCTCCTCAAAGTCTGAAATGCAACCTGCTGCTCAGACCCCCAACAGAAATCCACACCCTTTTTTGTCAAGCTGGTCAGAGGAATATCAATATTGGAGAAATCTTAATGAAGAGTTTCGAGCAATACATCATTCCTATGGTGTACATGCAAACCCTAATAGCTTTTGGATATAGTTTGTCTAATGAACATGCAATTGAATATCCAAAGCTATAAACCCTAGATCTATCATATAAGAACTGAAATAAGGGTTTAGTAATTACCTTTGATTGTTATATAGTAATAACAATCAATTCCTTGCTTTGATTGGCTTCAGAAAGCTTAGTGCCTCAAGTGTTCCACCTCTAATGGAGTCACAAACACCACTAAGCGATTGGATGAAGGAGAGAAGAGAGGGGAGGCACAAAAACGGCTGGAAACCCTAAAGGAACACTTGACCACGTTTTGGGGTATAGGGGCC